AAAGAATCAGCTGCCCCACGTGTTTTGAAGACTGGTCTTGTTTCTTAAAATCAAAGTGTTGACTACCTAATGACCACGATGTTGCCCAGCACCAAAGGAGACACAAGGGCAGTATTCCTGTCCTGGGGAGAAAGCATTAAAGATACAGAAGCCAAATAGCAGCCAAAGGTAGTGGCATAGGAAATGTCACAGGTGCCGTAAGGATGAGGACAGTACATTAGAACCATCACTTGGTTGTTCCAAACATATCTGTTATAGTACTGAAAACTGCATCTAACAGAGCACTGGCAATGTTTTGAATATTCAAATGCTATGTGCAGAGCAAGTATATCTTTTTTCCTTAAAAAACATGAAATTTATATGATAGAAATTGAAGGAAAACCATCAAACTCAAGTTTTTTGTTTTCTGATTTTTTAAACTCAAGTATTTTTTAAGAGTGGTGGTGTCTGAGCTGCTGGAGAGGATATGGACAGATAGGAATCCTTAAATACAGCTAAATACGTGTGGAATTAGTGTGGTCATCCTGGAGGGCAATGTACTCATAGCTTTCAAATGCCAATTTTGCATCTGTTCTGGAAATCCTACATCCAATAACGGTAGTTTGGGTTGTTCGGATCAGCTCTTCCTAAGAACAGCTAGAAATGCAAGGCAAAATAATTTTCAAAAGCTATTTCAAATACAAGAGAGATCTTCCAGGACAGTGAAGAATCATGGGGCCAAGATCCAGAAGAAGGAATCGAGACCATCAGACTTGGGTCCCTTAATGATGCTGCCTTTGTGGTAGGAACTACAGAGAGGCTGAAAATGAAGTAAGGTTAAGGAAGAAAACAGACATTCATGAGGCGTCTGAGACGTCCAAGGAGGAAGGGCACCAAGAAGACCAGATGTGAGGAGTGGGCACAGGGAGGCAGGAACTGGAAGTGAGCCAGCCCTCACAAGATGGGGCTCTTCTTGGAATCTTTTTTCACTCACTGGTATGAGTAAGTCAGCTCTCCACTGAGGTTTCCCCCCAAAATAGTTAATGCCTGCTGTGTTAAGGTATCTATTGTTTATGAGAAATTAGTTCCTTTCTTTTATATCTAAAATAGTATTAACTAACTCCATGCTGTTTTGGGGAGGATTAAGAAGTCACTCAAGGGCTGGAGAGATGGCTCAGTAGTTAAGAGTACCAACTGCTCTTGCAGAGAACCTGGGTTCAATTCCCAGCATCCACATGGTGGCTACAAACTGTCCTAACTCCACTTCCAGGGGAATCTGACGCCCTCTTCTGACCTCTGCAGCATTGCATGACACAGATGCACTCACACACAAGCAGGCAATACACTTATATACATAAAATAAAAATAATAAAACATTAAAAAGGGAAGTCACTCAAATGGTTTGCTGTAGGAATTAATTCTCTACCAAAATCTTACTTAAGAACAGTTGTATTAGGTTTTCTGAGATTATAAATGTCCCTTAGTCACCAGCCAGAAACAAAGGAAGTTCTCTTCTGAGGGCTCCAACTTTCTCTACAATTTTATATACATTGATCAGTATTCATTAGTGGTAAGACTATAAGACAATCTCTTAGAAAACCAAATTAAACAATAAAAATGAATCCTTGAGGATTCAAATAATAGCTTTATTAGACACATATTTTCTTTCTGAGACAAGGTCTCATGTAGCCCAGGCTGGTCTTGAATTGGCTATGTAGCCAAGGATGACTTTTAACTTGTGATATGATCTCCCTGCCTCCACCTCCATCCCTGGTCTTTGGATTCCAGATGTGTACCTGGCTTACATGTTGCTAAGGTTTAAACCTATGGCTTTGTGCATGCTAGACAAGCACTGTACTAGCTGAACTACATCACCAGCCCCAACGGACACAGATTTTGAAAAAAAAAAAAAAAAAACAACCTTTTTTTTGGCCAACAAAAGGACAGCAGGGACATTGGAGGTCCCATGCTTAAGGATTCTTTCTGTGTCCTGCCCTCTTAATTCAGGCTCCACAACTTCGAACCAGCGTTAAGAAGAGACCTGGAACTAATGGAAAATATACAACTGAAAAGTTATAATAAACTAAAACCCTCAGTGGATAAATTTAATAGCCTGTTATATTCAGCCAGAGATGCAATTTATACATTGAAAATTAGATCAATTAAAATAAAATCTCTAAAAATACTGAAGTATGTAGAGACAAAATGCAGAGGAGAGCTCGAGTCTAATAGAATACATCAGAGAGAGAGAGAAAGAGAGATTAAGATTAAAATAGAACAGAAGAGCTGGAGATGGCTCAGCAGTTAAGAGCACTGACTACTCCTGCAGAGGCCCTGGGTTCGATTCCCAGCACCCACATGGCAGCTAACAACCGTTCTTAACTCTAGGATCCTACGCCTTCTTTTAACTTCCTCAGGCATTGCACGACATGTATGGGCTTACAGACATGCAGACAATATGCTCATACACATAAAATAAAAATACTTTTAAAATTTTGTTTTTTAAAAAAGTACAACAGAAATAATATTTGAAGAGACAATGACTGAACTTTTTTCAGAATGAATAGGAGCATTCTGTCATGTAGCTAAGACTATCTATAAACCCCAAGAAGAATAAGTGCATTCCTGGGAACAGTATATGTGCTAGTTAGCTTTATCATCATTGTGGCCCAATGTAAACAGCTTAGGAGGAAAGGATTTATCTGAACTCACCGTTTCAGAGGATGCAGCACATCATGACAGGAGGGTGAAGTGGAGCAGAATAGCTCGCTTCATGGGATCTGAGCGAGAACGCCTTCACTGCTGGGCTTTTTCCTGTTCCCCTGTTATTTCCTATAGGTCAGCCTGTGAGGTGCTGCTGCCCCATATTGGGCAGATCCTCCCCTTTAGTGTCCCTCTGGGAACACCCTCATAGACACACCCAGAGATGTGCTTTGCTAATCTAGGCACCTCTCAATCCGATCAAGTAGACAATCATGATTAACCATTACTGGCAGGCATAATGGCACATACCTGTAATCCTAACACATGGGGGGCTGAGGCCAGAGGATAGGGAATTCAAGGTCAGCCTGGGCTACTAGCAAGACCATATCTCAAAAGCAAAACAAAACAGGCTTACCCATCATATCAGGGTAAAACTCTTTCAAACCAATGAAAAAATGGATCAGGAGATGAGACATATTACTTCAACTGATCAACAAGGCTATGAGCTCATTTCTCAGGAAGAGCAGTGCGAAGATATGGTATCTTCAAAGTACTTATGGATGGCATAAGACATATTCACAGGTAGATGCTCAGGGATCATAATTACACTGTAAATACTTGTAAAAAGTTATATGCCATTTAAGCGTCTGAGGTGTTTAAAAAGATTTACGTTTCCTACTGTCATCCCTGTGCCCCTCAAGAAGGGTAAGAGAGCCAGGCATGGTGTTGGCAGTATAAGCCTTTAATCCCAGTGCTCTGGAGGCAGAAGTAGGTGGCTCTCTATGAGTCCCAGGCCAGCCTGGTCTACAAGGTGAGTTCCAGTCCAGTTGGGACTACATAGTGAGACCCTGTTTCAAAAAAATAAGGATAAGATAAATCTCTGAATAATGGTGTGTTGCAGTTTTCTAAATATATTCTAAGTGAAAAATGCAAATATATTGTGTTAAAATGAATATATATCTTATACTCTTATTTATATTAATAGCATATTGATGTAATTTAGTACAGATGATTAGGCACCAAAATGTTAACAGTAGTTATCTTCAGATGGCTAAGTTATGAGATTCTTTCTACATGTTCTTAATTTTTAATTGATCATGTATTACCTATTTTAAAAAGAACAAAACACAAGAGCTGTTGGTTATGGGCTCTGTGCTGACCCTGGGTCTATGATAGATGTGGTAAAGCACATACTGTTGATGTCATTCCATGGCCTCCATGGAATGAGCTAGAAGAAGCTCTGCTGCTTGTAAGGGTCTGGATAAGATCCACAAATGAATTTTTCTAGTTCTCTGCACCATCTTAAACCTAGATCAGTAAGAGCAACATCTCAGCGTCTCATAGTGGTTCCTACTTAACCAATAGCACTTATCAGTGCTCACCCTCCTCAGGATTAGAGAAATCACCTTTCTTTATTAAAACTTCAGAATAATGTGAAGAATTGGTTAAATCTTTAATTATTTTAATTGACACAGTCTAAATATATGTGTGTGTATATATATGTTTAGATAGGTAGGTAGATAGATGATAGATAGATATAGATAGATAGATAGATAGATAAATAGATAGATGATAGATAGATAGATGGACAGACCATAGTATAATATTTGATATGTAGATGAAATGTGTAATGATCAAATGAGGGTGTTAGTATACCTATCATTCAAACATTTATCATTTCTTTGTGTTGGGAATATTCAAAATCCTTTAACTACTTTGAAACATGCAGTGAATTATTGCCAACTCTACCTACCCTGCTGTGCTCAGGAACACTAGAGCTTAATCCTCCTAACTGTATATTCATTTCTTTGTGATGATGCTGGGTATGTACCCCAGGGGCTTGAGCATACTGAGCAAGCGCTGTTCCACTGAACTAGACCTCCAGCCCCATCTAACTATTTCTGTACATGTTGCCAAGCCTTCTCTACACTCCCTCCTCTCTACCCTGCCCAGCCTCTCATAATCACTCTTCTTCCATCTATGTCTTTCGGATTAGCTTAAGCTTCTGCATCGCAGCGAAAACATACAGTGTTTGCCCTTCTGTAACTGGAAGTTAAATTTATGATTGTCTTTTCTCTGCTAAAATGTCAGCCTAAATTGCTACATAAAGTTCTCCTTAAAGGTAATAAGCTAGCAATATTACTGTTTCCTAAAGATAGGACAAATCTTCTGCCTTGGTTAAATTGCAGTTGCCTCAATATAGTTCAGGACAGGGGGTTGTTTAAGAAGCTTCATGCTTTACCTCGGTAACAAACTCTGGGTGATATGGGGGTAACAAGGCACCATTTGGGATAATAAATTCAGAATTTCTTATATAGGCCGAGAGATCCGCCTACCCCTCCGAATCAGAGGAGAAGGAATGGGACCCAGGATTCACTTCAACTTCGAGTTGCTGGATATTGGCAAAGTTTTCATTGGCTCCACACACTGTTACGAGGTGAGCACTGCCATTTGCTCGCTGAGGCTTCGAACACTACTTGGCTTTTGTTCTTTGCTTTATTTAGTTGGTTTTTATTTGATAGAAAATTTGCAGTCACCTTCCTTTTCTAAGAATGTCATTTCCACACTTCTTGGCCCCTTCTTACTTTACCAAAGTCATCAGAGCCATAGTTTAATTGGCTTTATCCTCCTCATTTTGTAGATTACAGAGGGGCAAAACCATAAATACATCTCCCCATCTGTCTGGTGCCTGTTCTCTGACAACAGAGGAGAGAGAACTTTTTGCATTTTCTCCAATGTCCTAATGAGGATAGCTGTTTTCACACTTCAGAATCTTCTCTGAATTCCCTCATCTCTAGTCTGTGTCTTAAAAAACCAGTTGCCACAGTTTCTGGAGGAAGCCTCGCTGCTTTCTCTTCCCAGTAACACAGAAATGGGAATGTTTCCTAGATGAACTTAGTATTCTTCAGGGTCAAAGTCATGCCAATGTCACCTTATCATAGGTAGACTTGTATCTAGGATGTTTATTCACCGTATCAAACAGTAGCCATTGAAACATGGTTTTTAGAATGTTCCTAAACTGTGAGTGTTCATGTCTTATGGAGGTGATACAAGCAGTTGTTTAATGAGTGACAAGTAACTGTCTGGGATTTATTGTGCATGTGGGGGGGATTTTTCATCCTTATAAAATTGTGAAAATTAGGATTTAGTATCCCCATTTCACAAGAAACATAAAGCACGTGTGGTTAATGCCCTCCACTATATTGCTCCTGAAATATGTTGATCTAAGTGCTGGTGCTCCAACTACATTCGTCTTATTTAGTCCTCACAGAAAGCCTATGGAGTCTTTTTTCTGCTAAAATGTCAGCCTAAATGTCTCATTTACGGGTGAGATTCTTGGTAGATTGGGTAGTGGGATTGCTAGTCCCACTTCCTGACCAAGAAGGTGAGGCTTGGCGAAGCCTTACCAGTTAGGTTACTGCTAGATAAAGCCCAACACGAAGGCTCAGCAGGTGCTCTTCTCCAGTACAGAATCTAGAACCTAGGCTCCTTCCAACTTCTGTGTAACCACTCCTAGCATGCACCTGCAAGATTTCAGCCTCCCCTGTATCACGCTAGAATAAGGGGACAGAGCACTGAGTGAGAAATGTACATGAGGTTTTTACATGAGGCAGCACTGGAGGTGGCAGATTGCACCTTCCATCATATGGGACTGCAAGAGAGGCTACAGAATGCAGTGGGCTGGCAGTTCAGAAGACCCAGCAAGCCTGAATGCCAGAGTTGGTAAGCAGCTTGACCCAGTCACTCAACTTGAAATTGTCATGAGCACTGGGCTACCGGCACCTCTGTTCTGTTCTGTGAACAGAGAAGGTGCTTTACTGGCCTTTTAGTCCTTCAGCCTCTCAGCACCCCATCTTTTCACCCTGAGCAATGAAACTCCGTCTTTCTACCCAACCTACAACTTGACCAGTCTAACCTGACATGGAGACAGTGTCCTTCATCCCCATCCCTAGGGTAATTGGTCTACACATGGCAATGTAAGAGGTAAACAGATGCTAAAGTCATGAGGAAAGGTGATCTATATAGGAACAGTGTGCATGAAGTTCATTGCCAGAATGAACTCCCTCTTATGAAGCTGTTGACCAGGGTCCTATAGACAATACTTTCCATTGTCCTTGCTCTTAGTTACCCACCAGAACTTCACAGTAAAGACCCCATTGCTGAAGACATACATGACATACATGAACTGTAGAACAAAAAAGGAGAAATCAAGCTGGTTCTGACTTCAAAGCCTCATCTCTGTCGTCTAGCTTTCATAGTGCTGAAAGATGCTATGCAAGCTATCCGAAGAAAAAACTTAGCATGACCCTTACCCAGCTGTGAATCCTGTGAACTACAACTGGCCTGTTAAGATACGCCCACCAGTACAATAACAGGACAAATATTATTGGAGCAACCAACTACTTTCTAATTGGATTTAATGTCCACCTCACAAGATGGAGCCTGTATCTGACATTGATATCAAGCTTAGGAGCCTGAGGCTAGACAGCCCACAGACCATGGGAGAGAGCCTAATACAATTATTCTGCTAATTAGATAGAGTATTAAGCTGATTTCTAATGACTTACTCTTATACCCATAAGATTAATGCACCTTTCAACTCTCAGCAGAGAAGTTTCCTATACAGAAGTTGGTGATTAACACAGAGAACCACACCTGGCCAATGTGCAGAGAACAAGAGGCTGCATACTGCTTCTCCATAAGTAGGATATGGATAACCAATAGAATATGTCAAACTTCTGCCTCCGAGGCTCAGGGATCATTGCTGAAGGAGGTAGAAAGATTGTAAGAGCCAGAGAAACTGGGTGACCATAAGGGCAGTTTTCCAGACAGCTTGTCAGTCAATTATACCAACTCACAGCAATGGTGACAGCATGCATGAGTAAGCTCAAGTCAGACAAAATCCCAGCGTAGATGTGGAGAAGTGGGTAGGAAACCCCAACCCTACCTGAGGGACTGTTGGCAACTGATGGCTGCTGGGAAGGGGGAGATTCAATCTCATTTACGGGTCAGATTCTTGGTAGATTGGCCAGGCTCCAGTGAGCAAACCCACATTGAAAGGCATTTGGAGACATAAACCTGACTCTGTAGGCCTTAATACACACACACACACACACACACACACACACACGAAATCAGTATTGGTGGGTACAGTTAGGGATGGAGGTCTAACTAAAATATATTGTTTTAAATTTGCAAAATTTTGATGAAAGATTAAAAAAAGAAATTATGAAATTCACAGATAGACACCATATACACACACACGTTTTAGAGTACAGGAAATGGTAGGGGTTACTAAGGGGAGTAGTGCAGATATGGGAGGGGATCTAAATATAATCAAAATATATTGTATGAAGTTGACAAAAATTCAATTTAAAAAATAAATGGGGGGAAAAAGAGAAGTCCACTGCATGGTGTTCAAAACATAAGGCATTCTGTGTTGCACTTGGGAGAAGAGCCCCTAAGATAGAGAAAAGCATACGACCACTCTTGTCCCTTGCTGTTCTTTCTATAATCTATCCCTCGTGAATCCTCCTTCTCCCTTACAGATTGTACTTTATGGATGCTAGATCGGGAAAAGACCTTCAGTTCTGGTACCAAATGGATAGGGTTCCCCTGCACATCATGAATTTCTTAGCAATTTAACAGATGTGCACTTTAGTCCACGACTTTGCACCCACTCAGATTTTAACTGTGGCGTGAACCACAGCCAGCCAAAGTGTTCAGTGAGGTGGTGCGTTGAATTGGACAGAGCTGAGAGCTGAGTAGTGGCAGAGAGGGACGTGATGAGGCACTTCTGGTGTGGGGTTTTACATTCTCAAATCATCAATGCTTGACACTTCTTGTGTTGGTCAAATCTATTATGTTATTTACTTGAGAAAATTGCTGCCTTTAGTCACTGCTGGCCTTAGCAGAGGCATAAAAAATAAATCATGACCTCAAGAGTATACAGCGTTGTCAGCGTAATTCAGAAGGAAAACATATGGGAGGTCAAGTTCTTTTATGTGTCCCTCTCCCAGGAGTTGGACTTCAAAAGTAAAAGCCTCGGGATCATGTACCAAACTATTGGCAGGATTTAGTATTCATAAATAGATGGTCCCTTGTCAAGAGTAAGAGAATGACCTCAGATTCTCACAAGTGGAGGAACTGGGGCTGGGAAGATGTGTCTGTTAGCAAAGTGCTTGCTGTGCAAGCATGAAGGACCCAAGTTTGTATCTCTACCATGCATATAAAAAGCTAGACATGGTGGCACATTCCTGTAATCCTAGTGCAGGGGAGACACTGAGGGGACAGGAGGATACCTGGAACTTGTTGGCCAGCTAGTCTTGCAGAATCAGTGAGCTCCAGGTTTGGTGAAAGACTGTCTAAAAAAATAAGGTGAAGGGTAACTGAGGAAGACAGCTGGTGTAACCTTTGGCTTCCACATGCATCCGTACACATAAGTACACACCTGCATGAACACACCACACACACACACACGCACACACACACATGCTGTAAAAACTCGCTGTTCAGCCTGTTAACCAAACAACAATAAAATGAAGTGAATACATACCTGGCAGAGGAGATACCATGATCAGGAAGGTGGTTTTCTAGGGTAAGGCTTATCCATTGCACTCTGGATGTGCTGATCCCTGGGATTTCCCCAGATGCTCAGCTGCATAATTTGGGTAGTGATAGCATTTGTTCTCTCCCCTTAAGAAACAAACAAACAAACAGAAGGAAATTTGGGCATGTGCCCAGAGAGAAGACCATAAAGTCACTTGAATGCCTTAAAAAGTGGCCTTCAAGTTCCCACTAGCATGTGTCAGTTGCCCCTTAAGTATGGCAAATTCTGTGCCCATTCGGTTGGACACTAGGGCTATAGGAAATCGTCACTGTCATTTATGAGTACTGTTTGCTAAGTACTATTCTCAAAATTAAATGAATTAATGAATTTAATCTTACAGCAATTTGAGAAGACAAATGGGGAAACTGAGTACAGAGACGTTAAGGAGATTGTCTAGAGTTGTATAACTAGGAAGTCAAAGGCAAAACTGGGATTTGAACCCAGGCCATTTGGCTACTGAGTCCTTGTCCATAGTTGCTTTCCTGTGTGGTCTCTTTAAAAGAGAAGAACAAAGCACAATTCAGAAGACCAGGATCTTAGAACAAGACTGGAAATCAGCATAAAAAGATGCACCGCACAGGAAGCAGCCTTTGCCTTTATTTATGTTTCTGCTTTGACGCACTGGCTGTCTTCTCTTGGCAGAAGTGGCTGTCATCCTCTGCAGAGGACACTGGCTTTCTGTCCTACCATGCTCTTCTCCAGAGCAGCCTGAGCCTCTGGGCTTAATCTCCTTTACTCCTAGCTGCACCCATCCCCTTGGCCACACCGTGCGCTGTCCTTCAACAAGAGAGGCACCATGTGGATTAGGGAGCGCTTCCTCTAGGCAGGGCACTGAGTATGCATCAACTCCTTTACTACAAATACACTCCATCACCTCTAAAATACCTTCTCAAAACAGGAAGCTAAGCTTGTCAACCACACTTTCTCTGTCCCACTCACTCCCTGGAAGTTTGCCCTCTGGGTTCTGTAATTAAACCCCATCACAACCAGTCTCTCCTTCAAGGTCAGGGTGACCTCTAATTATGCATAGAAACCTGTAACCTTTTCCTGGAGCGTATTCTACTGACCTCTGTCCACATTTGACTGTTCTGGGACTCCTTTGTTCATAGCTTCCAGCATGTTCTATTCTTCCTCAGCATGTTGCTGACATGTCTCACACTTTTCCTACTAAACTTCTGGAAGTCTCTGTGCCCTTTACATTCTTCACCTCACCTCAGCCTCCTCATGCTTGTGTGAGAAATATCTACCTCACCTGGCTACTTTATAGAGAATACTTGAAAGGTATTTTGATCAGTCTTGGTACATTGTGAGTATAGAACAGAAAAGTTTATTTGACTAAGTTCCAGTGTCTTGGGTGTGGATTATATATATATGGGTGGTACTGGTCACCCTTCTAGGTGTGAGGGCAGCATTGACAAAGAATGAAGGTGGTGTCTTTTATTTTTTTCTTTGAAGTCAGGAATAGAACTGTGTGACTGTGGTACACACTCATGCAAACAAATTGTGGGAGGAAGTGGTGGGAGCAGCAAATGGAGCCCAGCTGTGGAGGACTCTGTCAGGGGTAATCATCTTGCATACACACTTAAAACCTAGCCTCCAAATATGGACAATAGAATGCTGCGAGGTCATTGGCGTACATCTGTAGTAAAACAGTTGCTTGCATAAGAGTCTCCAGTCATCCATCCAACAGAGTCTGAGATGTAGATATTCCAGATGATGAAATCTCATAGCACAACAAAGAGAATCCTTGTCATCTGTAACTCCCAGTGATGTCTAATTTATATTCTCCAAGCTATATTACAAGCATAGGCTTCCGTAGCTCTTATTATTACTCTGTTCCGGGTTTTTTTGTTGTTGTTTTTTTAACAGTTTGTACTTGGCTTCAGTTTCCTCATGCATGTGAGAGAAATATCTACCTTCCTTTGGCTATTCCTTAGAAAATATTTAAAAGGTATCCTAAGAGTCTTCATCCATAGATATAATTATACATAGTCTTTTAAAAATATTTTATTAATTCTTTGAAAATGTCATATAATGGGGAGCTGGAGAGATAGCTCAGCAGTTAAGAGCATTGCATGCTCTTGCAGAGGACCCAGGTTCGATTCCCAGCACCCACATGGTGGCTAAAAAACGTCTGTAACTCCAGTTGCAGGGGAATCCAATGTCTTCTTCTGACCTCTGTGGGCATTGCATGGCACAGGTGCACTTACACACATGCAGACAATACACTCAGACACATAAAATAAAAATAATAAAATATTTTTTTTAAAAAAGAAAATGTCATGAAGCCGGGTGTGGTGGTGCACACCTTTAATCCCAGCACTCGGGAGGCAGAGGCAGGCGGATCTTTGTGAGTTCGAGGCCAGCCTGGTCTCCATAGTGAGTTCCAGGACAGCTGGGGCTACAAGGAGACCCTGTCTCAAAAAGACAAAAAAAGAAAAAAAAAAGAAAAAAAGAAAATGTCATAGAACGTATTTTGATCATATTCAGACTTCCTGCCCCATCTCCTCTCAATCCACCCCACCTCCCTAAACCCCCACCTCACTTTATGTCCACTGTTAACTTTTAAAAGGTCTATCTAGTCTAATTTGTATTTCCCAAATACTTTTGTGTGTGAGTCCATCCCCTGGAGCCTGATAAACCTACCTGGTATCACATCCTTTAAGAAAACTGAGTCTCCCTCTTCCAGCAGATAACAATTGCCAATAGTTCTTCAGCTATAAGGCTTCTTGCCTGCCTCTACAACTTGTGCTGGTGTTTTTCTGCATTAGGTTTTCACAGTATTGTGCATGCTACCATAAGTGCTGCAAGTTCATAGATGTAATTGCCATGTTGTGCCCAGAAAACACTGTTTCCCTTCCTTATATTCATCCACCACCTCTGGCTCTTACAATATTTCTGCCCCCTCCTCCATAGGGATCCCTGGGTGTCGAGAGGAGGTGTGACATAGATATTCCATTTAGGGTTGAATGCTCCACAGTCTTTTATTCCCTGCACACTGACCAGTTGTGATTATCTATGTTAATTATGAACTGCAGCAACAAAGAAGATTCTCTGACGAAAGGTGAGAGACGCACTAATCTATAGGTGTAACACAAAGCCATTGGGAGACAGTTTAATACCATGTCTATTTAGCAGAATATTAGTAGTAAGTTCTCCCCTATGGCCCGTGACCAGTCTAGCCCCAATAACAGTGCCGGGTATGGCTTCCATGTTATGGCATAGGCCTTAACTCCAATCAGAAAGTAGCCAGTTATTTCCATAACATTCAAATCACACTATTGCACCAGTGAGCACATTTGCCAGGCCAATCCTTATTTATTTTTGCTTGCAGGGTGCACAGCTGGGCAACGTTGATAATTATTTTTCTCTTTGGGTAGCATGCAGAGCACCTTCCGGCACTATGAAAGAAAGCTAGGTAGTAGAGATGAAGCTTCGAGGTCAGTACCAGCTTGATTTCTCCACGCTTGTTCTATGACTCACGTATGTAGTGTCTTCAGCAATAGCATCTTACCAAGTTCTGGAGGGTGACCAAGAGCAGTGGCAATAACCGGTATTGTTTGAAGGTCTGTGGGACCTCCCTGGCCAATGACTCCAAGAGACAGAGCTCATTCCTCTCATGGGTTTTTTATTTGCTAGTCTGTGTCTGGCAGGTGCAGTGCCGTTCTATACCCCATCCCCATTTAACCCTTCCTATCCATTAGAGAGAGTGGAAACTCTCTCTCCCTTTATATCACTGCATTTTCTCCCTCTCCTCCCAGGAAGTCCCCCAATGGCCCCTAACTAGTTTCCTGACCTCTATGTATTTTCCACTTGAAACACACATACCTAACAATTCAAAGCTAGCATCTACAGATGAGAGAGAACATGTGACATTTGTCTTTCTGGGTTTGAGTTACTTCACTTAGGATTATTGTCTCCAGTTCCATCCATTTATCTATGAATTTCATAATTTCATTTTTCTTGACAACTGAATAATATTCCCTACTTCCATTATCCATTCATCAGTTCATGGATATCTAGGTTGTTTTTATTTCCTGGCTATTCTAAAGCAGCAATGGACATTGATGAGCATGTATGTCTCTAGTAGGGTACAGAGTCCTTTGGGTGCATGCCCAAGAGTGGTATGGCTGGATCATGTGAGAGATTGATTTCTAGCTTTATGAGGAACATCCACAATGATTTCCATAGTGGCTGCACCAGTTGGTGTCCCACCTGCAGTGATAAGTGTTCCCCTTCCCTCTTGTCCTCGATACCATTTATCATCACTTGTTTCTTGGATCTTAGCCATTCTGACTTGGGTAAGATGAAATCTCACAGTGGTTTTGATTTGCATTTCTATGATGGCTAAGGATATTGAACATTTAAAAAATATTTCTCCATCATCTGCATTTCATCTTTTTGGGAACATTCTGTTTAGTTCTTCACCCTAGTTTCTAACTGGACTGTTTGTTGGGTTTTTGTTGCTGTTGTTGTTGTTTAGGATTCTTTTTTAGTTCTTTGTATATTCTAGATACCAGCCCTATGTCTAGCTGGTAGAGATCTTTTCCTGTTTTGTAGATTGCCTCTTTGATAGAATGATGATGTCCTTTGCTGTACAGAGCTTTTGAGTTTTATGAGGTCCCATTTATCAATTGTTGGTCTCAACACCTGAGCTATCAGAGCTCGTACACAAAGTTCTTTCCTGTGCCTATAAATGCCAGTGTGTATTCCCTGCTTTCCCCTCTATTAGATTCTTGGTATCGGGTCTTATGCTAAGGTCCTTGATCCACTTGGAGTTGAGTTTTATGCAGGGTGAGAAATAGGGATCTAGTTGCATTCTGTTACATATAGCTATCCAGTTTGACCAGACTTTTAATGACATGAGTAAAATTCAAATAACTAATTTCATTTTAAATAGGACACTGAAGATTACCTTGTGTCTTAGAAGTCTAATCTTCAAGCATTCAAGGCGTTAGACTATTCATTCCTTCCTGAGAATTTTCTTTGGTTTTAATTCCTGCAACTTCCACTGTGTTAGATGTTAAATAATACACATATATTTCCATATGCTTACATGAAAATGGACTGCATTTCTCTTGACCTACATTCACTCTTGACTTTTATTGACACAGGCAATCCTGTGCAACAAAGGCAGCATCGATGCCCTCTTCAACATGATACCCCCAACTTCAGCCTTAGGGGCTTGTTTTGTTTTTGATCCCAAAGAAGGCATCATTGGACCTGGTGGAGTCCAGGCTGTCCAGATCTCCTTCAGTTCTGATATCTTGGGGCACTTCGAAGAGGAGTTCCTGATTGATGTCAACAGGGCCCCGGAGCCTGTGAAACTGACCATTAGGTAAGGTGCATTTGTAACTAATATGGAAACTGACTGAAGGTTTTACCTATCTTTTGATAGGAACACTTTGGCACAGAAGAATGTGTTAAATTTCCAACTGTGTTTCCATAATGGACATCATTATAATATTTGAGGCACACAGGGTCTATGGCATGACCACTCAGCCCATCACAGTCATGATCATTTTTTAAAGTCTCAACGCTTATCTGAAACACTTCAAGATGTTGACAATTCCTCCCTCGATACATTTCTGTTTGTTTTAATATTAAAAGTTGGGCCAGGCATGGTGTTGCACACCTGCAATCCTAGAAACTGGGAGGTAGATTAGGAGTTCGAGATCATCCCCAGATCCATAGCAAGTTTGAGGTCAGCCTGGGCTACATAAGACCCTATCTCAAAAATATACTATAAAGGGGCTGGAGAGATGGCTCAGCAGTTAAGAACACTGGCTGCTCTTGCAGATGACCTGGGTTCAAATCCCAGCATCCACATTTCAGCTAACAACTTGTAGCTCCAGTTCCAGGGGACCCGACACCCTCTTCTGACCTCCATGGTCATTGCACAACATGGGTACACTTACATACATGCAGCAATACACACATACAGATAAAATAAAAATAATAGATAAAATATTTAATATGCATATATGCTATAAAAACTGGGATTGTTTTCTAAATGCTTGGATAGCACAGACCCTTTCAGAAGTTGTCCATATCTACTCTGGTCCATGACTTACATCCTTCAGGTGTGTATCACATAAGGATGAAGGCCACTTTTCCACTACATGAACATCAGCCCATTTCTTTTTATTAATATTTTAATTATTTTTATTTTATGTGCATGAGTGTATTGCCTGCATGTATGTAAGTGCATCTGTGTCCTGAAATGCCCACAGAGGTCAGAACAAGGTGTTGGATCTCCTGGAACTGTAGTTATGGATAGTTGCTAGTTGCCATCTAAGTACTGGGGGAATCGAACCCAGGTCCTCTGCAAGAGCAGTCAGTGCTCTTAACCACTGAGCCATATCTCCAGCCCCTCAGCCAATTTCTTATTACTGTAACAAGTCACATCATCTGGTCCCTCAAGGCTTCTTTATGATCTCCAGCAGATCAGCTCTTAAAGCTTTTGAATCAAACTTTCTGACTACTTGGTATTAGAAAGTATTGCCCAGAATCATTCCTTCTAAAACATCTTGCATATAAACAAGTCTCCATATCAAAAAATGGTGAAGATCAAGACTTAAAGCTCTACTCTGATGAATGTTTAAGATAACAAATAACCGTTATGAACAGTCACAAAAATCTTAACAATAAGCTACCAAACCAACGTGTAAAGAGGATTAAACACCATGATCAAATAGAATTTACCCAGAAATCCAAGGGTGGCTCACATATAAATAATCAGTCAATATAGTGCAAGGTGAATGTCATATACTATCAACAGAGTAAAGGAAAAACCCAAGTGATTATCTCAATACTCCCAAAGGGCATTTGCCAAAATTTATCACTCATATTTTAAAAAGAAAAAAACTCAGAAACAAATGATAAAAAAAATCTCCTCAGCATGAGTCAGATACCTAAATTTCAGGGCTAAAATTATGAAACTGTTAAAAGTTAAGCCCATCTAAATATTCATGACTTTTGATTAGGCAATGGTTTCTCAGACATGGCCCCTAAGCACAAAGCAACCAGAGACAAATAAATAAATTAGACTTCATCAAAATGTAAAGATTTATGCTTCAACACGCTATCAAGAAAGTAAACAAAAATCTACAGAATGAGAGAAAGTATTTGCAACTCATGTCTAATTAAGGAACTCCTACTAATACACACACACGCACAGAGAGAGAGAGAGAGAGAGAGAGAGAGAGAGCAGTTACAACTAAACAATAAGAAGACAGCCCAATTTAAAACCACAGAAAGCTTCTAAACATTTCTCTCAAGAAAGTATTCAAATGAGGAATAACATGGGAGCTCTCAGTATCAATAATCGTTAGGGAGCTGTAAATCAATAGAATCCACTTCACTACCAGGTGAGTAGCCATCAGAAACAAAAATGGAAAATGAGCATTGCTGAAGACATGGAGGACTCACAGCACTCACACATTAATGGTGGTGTGGTGGTTAATGATATTGTCAACTTGCCAGAATCCAGAATCACCTAAGAAGCTAACCACTAGGCATAACTGTGAAGGAGTGTAGATTGCATTTAAGCGGGAGGAGCCACTCTGTGGGTGGCTCCATTCCATGGGCTAGGATCCCAGACTGAATAATAAGGAGAAATCGAGTTGCGTGCCAGCATTCATCTCTTGCTGCTTCTTGACTGCAGATGTAATGTGACCAGATGTTCCTGCTGCTGTGACTTCCTGCTATGATGGGCTGTATCCTCAAACTGTAATCCAGAATAAACCCTTCCTTTCTTAGCTTACTTTTCACGTGTATTTTATCACAGCACTAATGAAAGCAACTAATACAGGTAGAAATGTAAGCTATTGCAGCCACTTTCAAAAATAGTCTGTCAGTTCTGCAAACAGGTGAACATCGTTACCATTTGGCCCAACAATTTCATTCCTAGTATATATTCAAGAAATGAACATGTAAACCTGCACAAATACTTGTATGGGAACATTTATAGCAACATCATTCATATTAACCAAAGATAAACAAAATATGGTAGATCTATTCATGTCACGTTATCAACCATAAAGGGGGATGAAAAAGGAATGAAGCATTAATACATGCTATGACATGGTACAATGGACGAACCTTAAAACAGCTAACAAGTGAAAGAAGCCAGTCATATGCATGCACGCGCACACACAGCATACATAATTCCACTTATATGAAACATTGAGAATATGTAAATTGATATGTTAGATGATGGTAGGTGATGAGAGGCAGAGGTGATAGAAGGAGGCCAAAAAGCATGGCTTTTGTTCTGAGGTAATGAAATGTTCTAAGATTGTGATTCTTGCACATTATCTGTAAATACCCAAGCTATTGATTTGTACACTTTAAAAGAGTGGATTGTGTTGCATATACATTGTATGTTAATGAAGTTTCATACATACATTTGCTTCCCCACTTCACTTCCTTTCAAACTTAGTGTTGCTTTTGTTCAAAAATATTCTAACACAGCTGGGTGTAGTGGTGCACACTTACGATCCCAGCACTCTGGAGGCAGAGGCAGATGGATCTCTGTGAGATTAAGACCAGTCTGGTCTACATAGCAAGTACCAGACCAGCTAGGGCTACAGAAAGACCCTTTCTCAAAACAAACAAATGAAAATTATAATACTTTAAACCATGAAGACTAATTTAGAAAACCTGGCATCTGTTGTCACAAGTCAATGTCTAGTTATATGAAAATACATGTATACTATAACATGTTTCCAACTCCAGACGTTATTATTTTGACTTTTATTTTGTGGGAACAAAAGAACTTTCCTGGGTCCCCTGTCCCAAGAAATGTCTATGAATTTAATATTGTAGATTCTATAATTTTGCTTCTTACTCTTTTGTTATCAGGCACTCCATTCCTTTACACCACATAATTTTGCTGTTGTAATGTTCCTCTAATTACATGGTGTGACGTTTTAAGCGGTTTGATAAACAATATTATAAAATTAATGTGATTTTTAAAAATCCCAACAAGCAATCTTTTAATATTTATTTTATTTACGTGTATGAGTATTTTGCCTGCATTTTAATGTGCACTGTGTTTGTGCAGTGCCTGTGGAAGCCAGAAGAGGGCATTATATCCCCTGGAGCTGGAGTTACAGGTGGTTATGTGCTGCCATGTGGCTTCTGGGAACCAAATCTAGGTCCTCTGCAAAAGCAGCAAGTGCTCTAACTGCTGAGCCACCTCTCCAGCCCCCCAATGAGCTATTTTGTTCTTTTTCTTTTGCATATATAATTATATAGAAGTTTTAACCAGAATATAAATATATTTTATATTCAATTTGTTTCACTTAAGTTACAATAGTAATACAATATATCTTTCTCAGTCTTTAAAGTTATAACAGGTTACTACATTTGATATATGACTGGGTCTTGGCATAGATGCTATTAATATTCAGAATATTCCTATTGGAATTCATGTGACCTCATCTAAGCCTAGATGGTATCATTTGGTCACCATTCTCTCTGCCATCAATGCCTTTGAACACATGTGATTTGCCTCTGCCTCTTTCAACCTCTGCATTGAATTGACTGCTTTGTGCACTTTTACAAGTTCTTTTCCTACTTTCTTTTGCCATCATGCCTTCATATACTTTTTGATATACTTGTTTCTTTGGCTCAGCCTGCAAAAGTTTTTTTTTCCAAGTCAAGTGGATAAGCTGTGAGTTTCTTTGATTTCATTCTCATTTGGTTCCTAATCCCTCACTGAGAACCAGACAGGCTTTTGGAAATTATTTCAGATCATTAGCATGAAGTAGAGTGGTCAGGAGAGCAGCTTTTAGACTTGAAACTTGCTATATAGAGTCTTGACTGTGGTCACTCCTCCCAGGCTTCCAAAGACCTCCTATCATGTGAGAGTCAGTGCTCCAGCAGCCAGAATATGTCCCATGGGGCGTCACAGGTATCTGTGTGTTTCTAACATTTGTGCTTTGCCACATATATGGGAAATTTGTCAGTTCTTAACCTTTGCTCTAGATACTTTAAAAGATACAGTTTATGAAGAGCAATGATTATTGTTTAACAAATGAACAAAAATACCTGGCTCATTAGCTCAAATAACTCATAGCTCTGCTATCACTTTGATCCTGGCCCAATAAGACCTGTATTGAACTTCCAACCTATATAATTATAAAATGATAGGTCTATGTTTTTTTCAGCTATCAAATGTGTGATAATCTGCTACAATGGTCCCCTGATTACATGGACCTTGCAGCATAGCATAAGATAATCTCTCCATCTTAAAATCAGTTAATTAGCCACCTTAATGCCATCTGCTACTTAACTCCTACCGCATCCTGTAAGCTAACATAAGTCATAAATTCTGGGGATTAGAATACGGACATACTTGGGAGCCATCATCCCACTAACCACTTTAGGTGCACTCAAGGTTGCAGAATCTATTATTTATTTGAAGCTAGAACATCTCTCTAAGATTGTGAAGCTTTGCCTTGAGAGAGAAATTGACCAACATGTGGATTACAGGGTCCTTCAAGGCCTCCTACTCTAGTCATCTCTTTTTTACTGGAGGAAGAAAAACTGAGTCTAATAGAGGCAAAGTGACCAGCTGAAATCACAGTGAGGTAGAAACAGGAGTGCAATTCACATAGTTTCATGGCCATGTGGGACAAGTATTGGTGGCATCTTTGGTTGTTTTTGAGGTTTGTTATATGATTAGACTTAATATAATTTTAAAACATTATTTTTTCTTTGTTAATGTCATACATGTATATAATATTTTTTTTATCATATTCACTGCTTATTCCCCCTCCCGCTCTTTCTGGAGCCTTTTTCTTCTTCCCAACACATTCTTCTCCTATTTCCATGTCTGATTAAACAATCACCCACTGAGTTTAGTTACTGTTGCTTGCATGAGCACTGGTGTGAGGTTATTTACTGGACCATTAGTGACTAACTTACCAGAGGCTATACCCCGAAGAAAAATTGCACCTCCCCCTTAACTGCCAATAGCTCATCGTGTGTCCCTCCACCATCCATGCTAGCATGTTAACAGGCTTGCTCTTATGCAGGTCTTGTGTAGGCAGCCACAGCTGCTGTTTTCTCATGAGTGTAACGGCCCGGCCCTGAGGCATCCAGAAGCCAGCTTCTCCCAGCACTCCTCCACATCCTCTGGCTCTTACATTCTTTTTGCCTCCTCTCCCGTGATGTTCCCTGACCTTAGTAGGGGGGTTGATATAGGTGTCCTGCTTAGAGATGAGCACTCAACAGTCACTTATTCTCAGTACTTTCATCAGTTATGTCTCTGCCTTAACCTGTGGCCAATGCAAAACAAAAGCTCTCTGCCTCTTGAGTGCTAAGATTACAGGTGGCCACCACACCTGGTCAGCTTTTATGTGGGTGCTGGGAACCTGGACTCTAGTCCAAATGCTTGCTTGTACTTTATCCACTCATCCATCTTTCCACCCCCTGGAAAACAATTTTACAGATCGCCGTGATAGTCTATCATATGGTAGTTTAATAGATTTCATAATAGAGTTCGTGCCAAGGTTTGATTTTATTCTGTACCTTCTTCCTGGTTTTGATCATTACCTTAATTAATTGGATTCTTTCACTATTCCCCCAAATTGGTTTCTACTTTCAGAGGCTGTGTCATTGGACCTACTTTCCACTTTAATGTCCCTGCTTTGCACTTTGGTGACGTTTCCTATGGTGAGTAACTTTCCATTTTGTGTGTGTGTGTGTGTGTGTGTGTGTGTGTGTGTCTGTGTGTCTGTGCGTGTGTGTGTTCATGTGGAGGGTGGTGCACATGTGTGTACATGCACATGAAGGCTGGAGGACAGCCTCAGGTGTCATCCTCAGCAACACCACATGCCTTCTCTGAGACAGAGTGTCTCATTGGCTGGGAGTTCACCAATTGGGCTAGAGTGGGAAGCGAGTGAGCCCCAGGGAGCCTCCGGTCTCTGACTCCCCAACACTGGGACGCAGGTGTGCGCCACTACACCTGGTTTTTATGTGGGTGCTGGAGATGGAACTCAAGTCCTCATGCTTGCAAAGCAAGCACTTTATCAACTGAGCCATTCCCCTAATTCCTAACTTCCATTTTAAATTTAGAAAATGGATAGGATAATTTTGTCTCTATGTAGGAGGAAGAAAGCTTACAAAGCACTTCTCTATCATTTTTAATAGTCAAGGAGGCTCTCCCTCTGTTGCAGTGGCATTTGGTGTTGCTTCTCAAATCACATGTAAAAGTAGTAACAGACCTGGGCACTAAGGGCTGTCATGACATGGCTATCTCTCCTCTTCCAGCAGCGAGAGCAGAAACCTTATGCTTCATTTCACTGTGTGAACATTCTGCTCTCTGTGTATTTGGGGATTGTTGTTGTTGTTGGTGGTGGTGGTGGTGGTTTTGTTTTGCTTTCTTGCAGTGCCAGGGATTGAACCGAGAGCTTTTCACATGCTGGGCAAATACTCTGCTACTCTCAGTCCTGCACTGTATCTAAAAGCAGATTCTGATTCGCCAGCCGGGCTGCACAGCAACCTTCTCACAAAGATGCTCTCGAGTGTAATGTGAACTTGGTGCGATTTGAGTTGGGTTCTGCTGCTTCAGTCTGAAAACTGTACTGTAGGTTTGCTGTCATCTCACTCAGTTGCTTCTGAGCCAGTGATTTCTCCCTGTCTAATCTTCCCCATTAATAAAAACGACAATAGCATCAGCAGCAATAACTCTAGTGATTGGTTGTCTTGTGGCTTTTCACTCCTGAGTGGATAACATGTAGCAGTGTGTTTAAATCTAGCAGTCTTGTGCACTGAAACCATTTAACATCTCCAATCTAGAGAAAGATGCTCTGAGCCTTGAAACTGTTAAGTCATCTGCTAAAGTCACACAGCATGGATAGGATTAGCTTTCATTTGAGACCTGCCATCAACAGGGATAATGTTGCACCCATGGGGACAATAATTGGTTCTTGGGTGGCGAAAACAAACTTGTAATAATTGATTATGACCTTCCGCTTTCCAATCCTGCCCAACTAAATCCTGTTCCTTAATACTGAATTTCTCTTGATAGAATTTAAACCTAATTTAAATCATATTTAATGAGTTAACTTGCTTTGACTTATAATTAATTTGTCATATTTATAAAGTTATAATGAGGAAACAAGATAGGGAAATGCTAGTTGAAATTCATATTCTCTAATACTTTCCGGTTTGTTGCATTGTTCTCCATTTTTCTACTTCATTTTGAGTAAGCCTGTCTACTTTGGAGAGAAACAGTTCTTTAGGAGAAAAACCTAATCATAAGGTCTGGGGCAATTGCTTTAACATTTGGATGATATAAGAGATTTGCTTATCCAGAAAACATTAATTTATATGATGCCCCCACATATATTACACTGCATAAATCACAAAATATAGGTATATAGATTTTTCCCCTCTACTATGGACCTTCTGCAATATAAAAAAGATTATTGATTTGTATTATGAATTCCTCCTGTGAATAGCTACAAAACTGCCACCTAATTTGCATAATGATCCACCCACAGATTCTCTTTGCTTTGTAGAGATTTGTCATTGACTAGAAACAGTAGGAACCCCTTATCTAAAATAACCAGTGGAACTCCCCCAAACCTCTCTACTGTAATTTAATTTCCGGTCATGCATGTGACTGGATTAGTATGGTACTCTCTTTGGGTAGCGCCCAGCATTTAGTGGTTTTGGGTCAGGTAAAAATTTAAAAAAGTTGAAGAAGAACTAAATCTTCTGAGAATGTTGTCCTTTAAATTGATATGTAAGCCCTGGAGGAAGGATGGGCTGTCTCTGTGCACTCACACATTCTGTCCAATCATGTTAATTATTCAAGGCTTTTACCTACAGATGATAACTAGAACTGTACAATACTTGCATTCAGATGGAACTGTAGATAGAAGAGTGTATGACTGAGGGCAACCACAAGCCTCAGAGTAGCATTCTTACTAATAAACATTCAGTTTTTAACTAACTGGCATCTCCCTCCTTGGGCTTCTTGAGAAGACTTGGGCATGTCACAGACATTGGTACAGGAACTGCTCTAAGGAGCCTATAATGAGTTTTATCCTATAGGAAACTTCTGGCTTCAGGGAAGTGGCCTGGGCAATGATTTGGAAGATGGTGTGACTGTATGGTCCAGTTTTTATACTGCCTAATGTCACATTTAACCCACAATGGTCAGGTAAGATAGGATATGGTTTCAAGAGTTATTTCAGACCAATTCAGAAAAGTTGGATAACAGCAATTACATGATTGTGAAGCTGACTTTCTAGCAGTTTCACTAGAATTTCTAAAAAACATCCTTCAAGAGAAGATGGTTCAAAGTAGAAGAGCAGGTCCTATATCCAGGAGAAACATGCCTTCTGTGGTCAGAGATGAGTCTTGTTGCTCTGGAAGTGGTACCAACACAGTAGCCACCTAGGGAATCCAACCACAGGTCAGTTTGCTTGTCCAGCAAAGAGCTACCTTTCTTTTAAAAAGACTGTGGATCTGGGTATGGTGGTGCATATCTTTAATCTCAGCACTCAGGAGGCAGAGACAGATGAATCTCTGTGAGATTGAGGCCAGCCTGGTCTACATAGTGAGTTCCAGGCTAACTAGGGCTACAGGAAAACTTATAAAACGTGAGTCTCACGTCTTATGAAAATAGAAGACAGGGCAGAAGGCTGTAATGTGACAGAGATCTCTGAGGGAGATCTGTTAGTCTCTAACTGGCTCAAAAGCAGATCATCAAGTTTCTCATAAGAGGCTCTTATTCTACATTGTGTCGTCAGTCAACCCTGACAGCATGTTCCTCAGACAGGACCAGAACAAACTGTCACTTCTTAGAAAGTTCTAGGTCAAATAATGGACAAAAATCACATGGGCTTCCCCTTTCACACATTGGCAAATAGAAGTGAATATGGTCCTATATTTAAGAAATCTGCATTTTGGGGCTAGAGTGATGGCTCAGCAGTTAAAAGCACTGGCTGTTCTTGCAGAGGCCGAGGTTTAGTTCCCAGCACCCACGTGGCAGCTAACAACCATCCATAACTCCAGTTCCAGGGGAATCCAGCAACCTCTTCTGACCCCCATGGGTATTGCACGACACCAGTGGACTCACATACATGCAGGCAATACACTCATACACATAAAATAAAAATAATAAGTAAAATATTTTAAAAATAGATGTTTAAAAAAGAAATCTCCATTTTATGGAAAAACTAAGGCAAAATATACTTTTATAAGACAGCTCAAAAATAGAGGCTGCCTCTTTAGAGGAGCCTGGGTGGTAATAAAGGGTTTTATTTTGTATCACTGTTTAATCTACTATATAGCAAATACATGATAAATATTCCTCGAATGAATGAAATATTCCTATTGATTGCAAGATTAAAAACAGTGTTTAAGATGTTACTAGGGAATACATATGAACAAAGTGCATGATATTCATTTGTGAAAGCATTGTAATGAAACACATTTTATATATGCATTGAAAGTTTATTTATTTATCATAATTTTATGTGTCTGCACATGTGTGTGTGAATGTGGAGACCAGAAGTTGATTTTGTGTGTCTTCTTAATTACTCTGTTATCTTATTTTTTGTTTGTTTGGTCTTTTTTTTTATGAGAAGGGTCTCCCTGTAGTCCCCATTGGCTTGGAACTTGCTATGTAGGCCAGACTGGCCCTGATCTCACAGAGATTTGCCTGCCTCTGTCTCCCAAGTGTTGAGATTAAAGGTGTGTGTCACTTCCATACCCTAAAAGGTTTTAAAAAATAATAATAAAAGATGGCTATCAGTTAAACTCTATGTAAGCATAGGAACCTGGATTTGATTGCCAAGAACCCACATAAAACATCTAGACCCAGTGGTGCACTGGAGAGGTAGAGACAGGAGGGTCCCTAGGTCTTGCTGGTCTGCTAGTCTAGCTAAATCAGGGAATGCTAAATTCAGTGAGAGACCGTGTCTCAAAAAATAAGACGGAGGAGCTAGAGATAGTTCAGTGGTTAACAGCACTTCTGCTCTTCCAAAGAACCTGGGTTTGGAATCTAGCCCCCACCTGGCAGCCAACAGCCAACTAAAACTCAATTTTCAGGGGATCTGATGCCCTCTTCTGGCCTCCACAGACACTGCACATATGTGGTGCACATATATACATGCAGGAAAAAATACTCATACACATAAAATAAAAATAAATAAACCTTTAAAAAATAATAAGGTAGCAATAGCTGGGCATAGTGATACATCTGTCTCTATTGGGAGATAGAGATAGGTGAATTTCTATAAGCTTGAGGCCAGCCTAGTCTACATAGCCAGTACCAGGCCAGCCAGGGTTAAAAAAAATTTATTCTGCAAAAAATAAGGTGGAGAGTGATTGAGGAAGTCACCTCATATTAACCTATAACCTCCACATGGATACATTTACACACACACACACACACACACACACACACATGCACGCATGCACACACACACATACACACGCACGCACGCAAACAAATAAATAGCATATTTCAAACAAGTTAGAGTTAAGTAATGATGAATTGCATAGACATTCATTAAAGATGTTGCTAGGGGAGACTGTTGGCCAAGGAAAGCTATCGAGAGGGGCACTATTTCTCATCTCATATTTTGTTTTCCAGGATTTCCTCATACATTGATGTGTTCCCTCAATAATACATCATTGGTCCCCATGACCTTCAAACTGCGTGTGCGTGGGGATGGCGATGGCTTGAAAAGCATCCCAAGTTACTCACCTGAGTCAGACAGCAAAAGACAGTCCTGGATCAATACAGAAGTACCTACTACAAAACCAAAAGAATTCACCATCACTCCCAGCAGTGGCAACATTCGTGCCCAGGGGTTCACTGCTATCAAGGTAACGTGCACAGCCTTCTGCACACACAGCCAAGCATCCCAACTTTCAAATAGCCACTGGGATCTCACCTAGGGTTCTCTTTCCAGCAAGAGCCTGCCAAATCGTGCAGAACAGCGGGCCTATAGGAAATAAGTCTTTGAGGCAAGGAAACCAGACCCAAATAGATTAGGCAAGGAAATTCACACTACTGGAATTACTAAGGTCAAAGTCTGCTCAGGCAGCCCTAACAATCCAGGATTGGCTCCCTGTCCCCAATAAGCCATTTAAAGAGACAAATTCCCACACTGGGAAGAGGAACAAGAGATCCAATGACACCCTCCCCCTCATTTGTCTTGGGGTCCTGACATAAGGTTTGGTTTAAATAGAGAGCCAGAGGTACGCATAGCTAAGCAGTTCTGGTCAAGGCCTGGTGTTGCCCATCATCACTGTCGCAATTCTAGTGTCTCCCGGAAGGTGGTCCAACCAGTCATCAGGACTGTGGGAAATATTTTACCAGGAGACAAGTTCCCTTCCGGATAGCACCAGGCTTCAGCCTTCTTCCAGCTTGAGATTCCAGGGGTTGTGGGGAGCAGATTCTAGATTCTTGGGTCTGACAGCCAAAGGGAGGGATGCAAGTGTCTCATTAGAATATTCTGATTCCTGCCAGGCCAGTGACACTCCAGTGGCTTTACATGAATCTAGATGCAGTACCATCACCAGAGCTGTGGCCTCTAGATATTTCTAGTGCAGCTACTGCTCTATAGAGATGATCCATCCATTGGCACTACCATGAAAGAGTGGAAGAACTCAGACTTGTGCTCAGACTCAGATCCTTCATACCAGGAAACAGCCAGATCTATGCCATGGTGATAGCCAGCTCACTCAGATGTGTCATGTAAATCTGGGTCCCATGGCAGTAGTGGGTGTGATGGTTCCTTCCATCAGGGCTCTGTATGTAAGTCCTCAGGAAGAGAGATGAGGCGAGTGCTCAGCACTCCCCCACCACCTGAGGCTTGGTCTGACATTGGGACAGCACAGTGGCCTCATGGTGCCACCAGCAGGGCTACTTCACAGCTAACTGCAAAGGGTTTTAGCAGCCTTCCTTCACTTTCACTTCTCCCTGTCAGGTCTAGCAACGTTGAAATGATTTTATGCTTTCTGAGAAAGAAAGACTTCAAAGCTAAGGTGTTTAATTTTCTCTTCAGTTATCACCACTGAATATTATTGTTTACTTGTTATTTGTTTTGATTTGATTTGAGACAGGGTCTCTCTGTAGCCCTAGCTGACCTGGAACTAGCGGATCTGGAATGCACAGAGATCCACTTGCCTCTGCCTCCCAAGTCCTGGGATTAAAGGTGTGTGCCACCATACCTGGTTATCATTAATTAATACATTCTAAGACAACTATCGTTTTATCCTCCAAGTTTGTTTTAGCTGTGTCTCAGTATCCTACGTCAAATCCATTTATCTTGGCTCTTTTCTAGGCATTTTCAGGTCTTCCATGGGCTTTCCTAGGGTTTAGGGCAGAGTTGATCATGTCGCATAACATTCTGCCAAGATCACTGGCTTTTCCTGGTAAGAAGCCCCACTGCAGTGGGTCTGTTTTTTACGTAATGCAGCCTCCATGTGATCTGCATTTCCTTTGGGCCCTCTGGATAGCACAGGAAGATCTGAGGACATAGTGTGTTTCTGTCAGCCTCCTGCCAGAAAGAACCACTTGATTTTCTTCCTACTGACCACAGCCCCAGTGCAAAAACAAGGGGCTGCAGTCATATTGACATTCCCTACTTGTCCCCAAGTCTGATAATTTTTTTTTCCAAATAAATGGCTTGGAAATTCATTTCCAAATCAAATGACCAACATCTCTATTTTTTTCATGTATATTTGGAAAATCTTTCTCCAAGCTTAATTTTCCCTCCTCATCTGTACTCCAGCCAGGTCTGTGCGGACCCAGATTTGCATCCGGCAATTCCCTCTGCAACCCAAAAGATTTTAATTAGTGCCTGATACATAATTTATAGACAGAAAACCCTTAACCAATGCCAGAAGTTGTTTTCCAGACTAACAAGTATCTCTTCCAGTACAAATCATTTTAAAGCAATTAAAAGTTTGTAACGAAGCCTAAACGTAAAGTTTCACAGCAGTAAATAAAAACACAAGATAAAATGTTCTGGAAAGAGGCTGTCCTCAGGTGGACCTGGCTTTGGAGTTCACTGTTTTCTGCTCAATAATGCAAATGGAAAAGGGCAAATTTTTAGTTAAAAAGACTGATTTCCACAGCCAGTTTCTGGAATAGACATGATTATTTTTATTGACTTTGGTGTCAGAGAAAATTCACTGTACTGTCTTATGTTGAAGTTCTATAATTTATGTAACCCCAGAAGTGAAAGGAACAATTTAAATTGCAAAAAAGTTTGTTTGATATTTCTCACCCTCCACAGTCATTTTCTCCCTTGTGTGGATATATAAGCCCCCATGATTCAAAGTCACCTTAGAAATGAGCCTACCTGTTGTGCAAAGAGTCATTAGGTTTCTAACCCAGGCTTTGAAAACACCCAGTATGCCCTGACTCCACAGTGTAACTTGTTCAACTAAAAATATCAAACACCATCTATCCCATCCAATAACACACTTAGAAACTGCACTGATGCGCACCATCCTCCCTGGCTCCTCTCTCCCCTCTGTAGAGAGCTGACCTTTAACCTCTAAACCTTTTTCTTTCTAGGTGACTCTGTGCTCCAACACTGTGCAGAAATATGAGCTGGCACTGGTGGTAGACGTGGAAGGTGTTGGACAAGAAGTGCTTGCGCTCTTAATTACAGCCAGGTAGTACTCACCTGCTCCTCTCTGCCAGAGGCCCCCAGGGCCAGGGTTGAACTGCCTCCCACAGAGCAGCTGACCTCACACTGCATTTGCCTGCCTCCCTGGGAAGGGAAACAGAATCTGATATGCAAAGAACAAAGCTTTAAAACAGAAAATATTTTCTCAAACAGCTTTGGTGGAGTTACTAAGAGCCAAAGGGCGGTGCGTGTGTGTTGTATTGAGTGTTCCAAAGCATGTAACTAAAAGGTTTCAGCAGGTAGAGGTGATGAGTTGCTGAATATTGTTTTTCATGCTGCTTTCAGAACCACCAGTGTTATACATCAGGTAGGCGTTGCTTGGATCCTGGCAGCAGAAAGTCCCTTTAGCTGACATACCACTACTCCAGAACACCGTCACTGTGACTTGAATTGCTGTCAGGAGGTTCCCTCCAGTGAGGATCATCTCTTACAGTATAAATTCATCAGCTTCACTCTGTGTGTGTGTGTGTGTGTGTGTGCGTGTGTGTGCGTGTTCACGTGTGCACACCTGTTTGCCAGTGACTTCTATCCTGTGTGCATGTGTGGAGGCCAGAGGTCGACCTTGGGTGTCTTCTGCTATCCCTCTTCACCTTACTTTTGAGACAAGGTCTCTCACTGAACCCAAAACTCCCTGCTTTGACTAGACTAGCCTGCCATGGAGCACCCAGGATCCACTAGTCTCTGCCCCTCTCTAGCACTGATGTTACACATGTGCATATAGTCACGCCCAGCTTTCATATTGGTTTTGGGGTTCTAATCTCAGGTCCTAGTGCTTACATAACAAGCTCTTTACCGACAGAGCCATCTCTCTAGCCCCCAGATTCACTCATCTTTAGTGAGTCAGTAAAGGTCTCCAAAGTCATGTTCAAATCCTGGCTCTGCCATTTAATGAATGCCTCCTTCACCTAGTTACAGTCTTCTGATGCTGTGACAAGGGACGGGGTGTCACTTCCTATGGTGGCATCATCCTAAATAATGTTATAGGGCTACATTCTTCCCAAAGAAAACAGTGTCAGCCTTGGAATTTAGGTCTCTCATGAATCTTGGGAAGAAATACCTTAGAGGAGGTGCAGATGTGCTGATAAGTGCAGATAGTAACTGACGTCATTTTACTTGTTTGAAGTTTGAATGAAGACCAATAACAACCCTTAAGGAAGGTCAACTTGTATTGCCTTGGTCTAGTAAGCATGTCTTTAAGACCTAATTTTGTTGTTGTTGTTCAGGAAAGCTTCTTTGATCTAGGCTGTCCCATTCCCAAGTTTGTATTCACTTTGAGCCTGGTCTTGCATTTGTTTTCTGTGCAGGCTTTTTCTCATGCTCTTCAGCCCCTTCCCTTCTCCCTGTAGCTCTCCTGAATTGTAAAAAATAACAATGCCTAAAGAGACTATGAACTTCCCTCTAAAGTGTGCCATGACCCAAGTGAAGTATAAACCCTCTCAGGAAGCAAACCTTAGCCTTGAGAATGCCACGGGGTCAGCTGACAGCGTCCGTGCTAGCTAAAAATGAACATCCAGCCCCTGCTCAGTCACAGACGTTGGGGTTAAAGAAAGGCCCTTTCATCTCATTGCTTCTGGTGTTGCTGTGGGAACTGCTTGCTGCCTCTCAACATTAGAGGTGTTTTTATAACTTATGCCGCAAGGTGACCCTCGCAGAGAGCCGACAGTGACTCTTGCCATGCCCTCACCCCAGGTCCACTCCCTCTTGTTGCATACTTACATGCTGCTGGGCTGTGCCCTCTGTTCATGGTTTCTCCTGGATTCCTCCACAACACCCTCGAAAAGTACTAATGAAGCCATCCGACCCCTAGAATGACTTTCATTTTACATATGAGTGTGAGACCTGAGCTAGAGAGAGATGGCCCAAAGTGACACAGATTGTACTTTGTAAGGTCAGCATTCAACTGGGCTCTGTGTAATTTAAAGGCAAGGCCTTTCATCATTGTGCTTCATGTTGCAGCAGTGACATAGGGCAGAGTAGACACTGAGAGCTACAGACACAAAGTAAAACCCAAGTCACTGACTAATAGACCAATGGCAACATGGGGCTACATGCCTGCTTTGCTCTCCCCGAAGTCAGATCAGAACCACTGGCACCGTGCCAGTTCTGAGCTGGGCAGCTGCCAGATCCTACTCATCCAAGACAGATATGCTGCATAGGAATTATAATAGCATCATTATTTAAATGATTTGCGTTTTGTTCGTCCTCAGGGACTTTCTGACCAGTCCAAAGTGTCACAGCTAGTTAAGACTCTATGCTGGTGGCATTGGCCCTGTTTGACATGGAAACAGACACACTACCCTAAGGAACTTGCTCTATGAACCTCTTTACCAGAGCAAGAAAAGAAAACAAGAACGGAAATGACGGTCACTTCCCACCAAAGGCAACTCTTTAAGGAGTTCTGCTTCTAGTTCTTTTCTGGTTAAAAACTGTTGACTGGGGGCTAAAAGAGAGGGGTAAAAGGAGTTGAAATGATTGATGTTCCTCTTTATTAGACAAAAACTACTATGTGAGAGCAACAGATATAATTTACCTTAGGACTGCATTCTCTGGATGTAAACAAGCTTTCCATTTTGAATTGTTTAACGGTCTCCTTTGAACAGGTGTGTTGTGCCTACCCTCCAATTGGCTACTCCAGAGGTGAACTTTGGACACTGCTTCCTAAAGTATCCCTATGAGAAGACCATTGAGCTTGTCAATCATGATGACCTCCCAGGATGCTATAAGGTCCTGCCTCAGGTGAGTTTCTTCATCCACCTTCAGTGTTCAATTTCCTTATAGTGGACTCCATCAATGAGAAAGGGGCAGCCTTCTGAGGAACTATGATCCTGAGCACATGACCTTATGTGATTTGGAATTTTTTTAAGCCTCAGATGAGCCGGGCATGGGGTTAGAAAGCCACAGCTGGATTGCCATCTGCATGCATGAGCAGCTGCAGGTGTAAACAGTTGTTAATTTCCCGGGGAAATTGTCCTTGATAAAGAAGGGAAAGTGCCAATTAAGCCAACATGCAGAAGTGCACCTGCAAATAATTGCCTGTGAATTAACCAAGCATGGGAAACGAGCTAGGAGTTTTCATTTACGCCCATGACTATGCTTTGAACTTTATCACCAGGATCAGTAATTCAATATTTATAAATGGACTTGTTGGACCAGAAAGTTAGAGATAACATAGGAAAAGAGAAGAGCCTGTGAACATGTCACTACAGCTGGCTAAGTGGGAGACTAAGCAGGCTCCATAGGCATAAGATTCAGAAAGATCTACATAGATTAGAGTAATAGACAGTTATAATGATGTGCCGTTTACCAAGAGTGCATTTGTGTTTAAAATTTAGTTATGTAAGTACAGTCCTTTAATATAAATGTATGTAACGGGAGGTTTATTTGGCTTCGTGTTCAAGTTAAAGTGGTTTGTGGGAGCACAGGATTAGTGCAGAGTTGAGCTGCGTTCAAGAAATATGGCTCAAGGAAGATGGTAGCCACTGGCCAGAAATGGCCAGAATTTTATCATCTTTTGTCATGGAAAGGCGAAAAGCACATCACATGGGGAGCAACCAAAAAGTAGCCCATGCCATCTGCAAATCCAAGTTATTCGAGGAGCCGACTGGAGTATCTAAGCTAAACATAGAAGGCTTAGCTTGGGCAAGATGGCTACCTCCCACTAGCCAAAGGGCTATTACGTAAAAGAGGAAATTATAATCGTTATGTAGGCTTCTCTCAGACAAGCAGAAACCACTGGTCAAGTCATAGGACACATTTAATAGCAAGCCAGTAGCAGACCGCGATGGCCCTGTGCGGTACACAGTCATCCTAGGAACTCATCTTGGGAGCAGAGCCTGCATCCAGGGTCAGAGGAAGCAATTTCCTGCACGGCAGGGCTGAAAATAGGGTAGGGCACTTGCCTTGGGTGCAAAATTGAAGGGGGAACCTACTCAGTCATCAGGATACCTAGTATTTTTATGCCATGTTCTAAGCAATTAAAATTAAGTTTTAAAAACTATAGTGGATATCAACATTTGGATAAACTTTGGATCAGTATTACAGATTTTTCCTTTTGCCTCGGCTCCAGGGGCTCAGCAGAGAAGTGATACGCAAAGGCAGAGTGTTGGTAAGCTGTGTTAGGCCAGACCAGATGCAGAAAGGCTCGGCAGGGAACGTTCCAGAATGGTGAAAGCTGCATGTTCTGCATTTCTGCTGAGGAGTTGAGGCCCTCAAAAGGATTCTCAGAATTACCCAGACCTGCTTTACCATAGGATTTTAAAACTTCATTTATTATTGTTGCATAAAAATTAATAATATTCTATAGCACAGGGTTCTGGGAAAGACAAGGACAAACACTAAATGATGCTCATTCATTCATTCCTTGTGTCGGAAGGACAGACTAAGTATATGCTTTGGGCCAGAAAGTAGGCTTGTGCAAAGGAAAAACCAGTCTCTAAATGTATCCAGACCCTGGAAAAGATGAACATCCAGATGACCACATGCTGTAGAAAAGGGCTTCATTGGATGCTCCCTAAGAGCAAAGTTGTAGCTTCAGAGCTTTGGGAGTAGCTGGAGGAAATTCAAGGAAAAAACTAGAAGGTCAAGGGAAGCAGTACACTAAGAGGAACCACAAGTACAAAGGATTGTGGGTGAGAAGCAGGATCATGGCTCTCAGAAAATGCTGTGGTGTGACCTCTGTTAATGGAGTGCAAAGGGCTAAGGCCGTAGGAAATGAAGCGTGAAGCCACAAGGGACCAGGTTAGAGACCTTGGCAGTGAAAGGCTGATGACCTGCCACTTTGGATCATTTCTGCGTCTAGCTGTGCTGGGAAGCTTAGATTATTGGCCTTGCCCACCCTTCACTTAACCCAACTTTTTTTGTTGTTTGTTTGAATTGGTCTCCTTATCCCATAGGCTTTCCTAAACAATGAGACATTTCCAAAGATGGCCCATGAGCTCAGAATGATATTTGTTTCAAAATAAATTAGTATGACATTTCTCCTCTGAGCATGGCTTTCATACCCCCTGGTTTGTCTCTCTTCAGGTGTATGATGAGACTCCACCTTCTGTACTACTTTCCAGTCCTGCCCCCTGTGGGATCATCTCCCCTCACAGCACCGTACACATACCACTGGCCCTGGAGACCCAGGTCAATGGAGAGCACAGATCCACAGTTTACATATCAGTCTTTGGGAGTCAGGACTCTCCTCTGGTGAGAATCAGTTTTCAGAACCATGGTTGAAATCACCGTGTTTCTTATCGTGGACTTTGAGCATCTTCATTTAAGGCATATGCCATATTTACATAGTCTCTAGTTTTTGTTTTCATTCTACAATAGTAAAATACGAGTGTGATACAACTTGGGGAAACTATTTGCAGATACATCAAAATGTGATAAGGTTTTAAAGCAATTGTTCTTGAGCCTAACTTGAGTATCAGAAATTTCGTATGCATGAATACATACAAATGTACACGCATATGCATTGTCCCTCTCCACGGCCATCATATCCCTGTGTTTAACGAGCTCCTCAGTTGTTCCCAGTGCAAAGGTTTAGATATCACTCAGTCACATATGGGCTATAAGATCAGTTTCATTCATTACTCCCCAGATCCTGTCCCATTCAGTGACCATATTAACCTTCGCCCAAGTTAACCTACTGAAGCTATTAAGGAGTCTTTCTTGAAGCAAGACAATAGAAAAACATTGAAAACCACTGCTTAGGCTGAATTAAAGGATAAATCTTGAGTCTTAAAGGAGGTTGCCCAACAAGCCGTGTGTCCCTAGACATTTGGTTTACACTGAAGCTGAGTGATAGTGGCTTACATTTGTTTGAACTCACTCTGGTTGCTCAAAGAGCACAATATCTCAGTTTTTACTTTGATCTTTTCAAGGTGAGATGCTACAGACGAGGAACTTGGCTTACGAAGCAGCATTACAAAGACAGACCAACATCCCCCAAGGGACCCAGTGGGGCCTTTCTGCCCACTGCACAGATACAGCTTACAAAAGACAGCCAGGGCTTTATGAAAGAAAAGGGCCTACCTGTCTTGGGTACACACTACAAAGTGTACAGTGGCCCCACCTGTCACCCCAACACCAAAATAACAGAACTGAGACTCAAACCCAGCCACATCTGATCAGAAATGCCAACTCTTAACCTCGTGTTAAGTATTCTTGAGACTAGAGGACTGAATGGGACATAGTGGCCTAAGATTCTAATTTCCTTTACTGCATGACCCTGGGCTGATGCAGGAAAGTTAATCGTCCTTCGGAGGAATTCCAGACTAGATTCACAGGCCTGACCTTTGCATGGCCATCCCTATGTCCCTCCAACCACATTCACCTCACATCAGCACCCTTTTCTTCCCCTGCTTTTTACTAAAGGGATGGCTAGAATCTTTTGTTTTCATCATTTTTAAAGGGTAGCCATTTCACCTGGTCCTGTGTTCTTTCTCTTGCATGGAACACAGGTATGTCAAGTTCAAAGTATTGGAGAAGGTCCTGTTATCTTCATACATCCCACTCAAGTTGATTTTGGCAGTATCTACGTCCTGAAGGACTCTTTCAGGATTCTCCATCTATCTAACCAGTCCTTCATCCCTGCATCATTTCGAGCTCACATGGTAAGTCCTATGGTACCACAGGATAAAAACAGTGACCCTATCTTTCAGCATGTCTTCAAACACTAAGCTTCAGCAGAGATTTGCATGGTTAAGCTGTACTAAACTATGTCATCCCCATCCACGAGTCCTCTTTATTATAATCCTTTTGTTAATCAAGAAACACAGTGTACATATCTTCCGGTAAGCAAGCAGATACATTTCAAACAATTCCCAGCTATAAGGATGCTTCAGAAGGGGCCAGCTCTCCCACTGAAGACACGTAAGCTCAGCTCCAAGGCCTCAAAGAACACTGCCTGTGTGTCTCTATAGCTAGACGCACTTCTCCCTTGAATCCTCTTAGCTACACATTTATTGGTAAGTTCATCCTATTTTGGTTCTTGCTTTCTTCAGAGAGTATCGAAGGATAGGTCACTTGTAAGGATGCTCAGAAGGCTGAGCAGTTAAGAGCACTTACTCCTCCAGATGCCCCAAGTTCAATTCCCAGGACCATAAGGTGGCTCGAAGCAACCCGTAATTCCAGTTTCATAGGATCCAGTGCCTTCCTCTGGCTTCCCCAGGCACCTGCACTTACATAGATATACCCCAACACAGACACACACATACACATAATTAAAAATGAAGTAGCTCTTGTAAGGATGCATCACATAGAGCAAGATAGTATTTACCAAAAATGGAAATTAAAACAAGGGCATGTGCACACATATGATTTGTTTTATTCCTGTAGATTATATAAAGACGTATTAGACCTGCTAGCCACATATAAACTCATGTATTTATTTATTTATTTATTCATTCTAGAACAAAGGTAATGTCAGGTTTTGTTCATTTGGGTGGGTTTTGTTTGTTTTTTGTTTTTGCAACTCTGGGAATTTTTAATCTAGTAGTTGAAAGTATCTTTAATTTTAAAAGTGGTTTCTCCTAAACCAGGCATGGTGGCACATGCCTTTAATTCCAGCAGGAGGCAGAGGCAGTCAGACCTATGTGAGATCGGGGCCAACCTGGTCTATGTAGTAGTTCCAAGCCAAATGGGGCTATAGGGAGACCCTGTCTCAAAAAAAAAAGTTTTTCCAATAACTGGTATAGCCTCCTACTGTCCCCAAATTACTGTCATCCAAGTGAGAGCTGCCATTTTTGTTTCAACGTTTGTCAGATATTTCTGAAGAATCAAATAATAAATTTTCAGAAGTCATTAGCAGAAAGAACAGATTATAACTTCCTGCTGACTTAGGACAGGTCACTAAACATTGGTCCTCTAGCAGCCTTTATTCATCATCATAATTTGTTTAATCTTCATTCTTCCATACACCCTGTCAAGTCAGCCATTTTCATATATAACCATTTCTCCTTTAACATTAGGTCCCAGAAAATGAGGTTCCAATGCAACCCTAGTCCTGCACGAGACCCTGTGGATCTTGTATAAAGAACGTTGTTTAATAATAAAGCAAAGTTCTGTCAATAACAAACTTTCACTGTTCTTTACCCAACCAATTGATGGTTACATTTAGTAGAAATCATGAAGTTTTGCTTAGAACATGTTGCTTCCTGGTCCAGTTTGAAGCTAGCAGTGAGAGAGACTGGGATCAGTTACCCATCCAGAACCCAGAGGGGTGGTGGCCTCAGGGTGTCCTGAGTGGATGACAGAGGGAGGGCACAGGTGACACAAGGGAGCTTTGGAGCACACATAGCATCCATTCCCAAATGTCTCCAGATGTCACTTTTTAAAAGGGGTTTATTCTGTTATTTTATTTCTGTGTATCTGTCTATGTATAAGTTCTGTGTGTGCAGGCACAGGTGCCCATAGAAGCCAGAAGAAGGTAACATATTCCCTGGAGCTGGAGTTATAGGCAGTTGTGAGCTATTTGATGCTGGTGCTGAGAACCAAATTCTGGTCCTCTAGAAGAGGAGGAAGTGCTCTTAACCACTGAGCAATCTCTCCAGCCCCCAGGTCCCACTTTTTATGGTATAAACTTTTGGTATAGAGTGACTTATTAAAATGGGACTCTTTGCTTTCCCAGAAAGATTTGATGATCTCATCTCTTAATTATTTAATATTACCTTAAATCCATGAGCTCTGATTCCAAGGAGCCAAATATGTGATATAAATGATCTGCTGCGGTGTGTTTTTCCTCCACCTGCTCTTGGAAAACATGTTTATCGAGTTATAGTGTAAGCAGAAAAGTGGTTTCAAGTGTAGTTCTCTAAGGTGAAAATTCAACTCCTTTCATATGACAGCCAGGGGGGATTGTGACTCTCCTAATAAAAATGTATTAATGTTGCAGAAATTGAATTATGACAATTTAGAAATCAAAAGACATTGAAATGCTATTTATTAGATTTCAACTTGACCTTTTAGTGCCAAGCCTTCAAACCCATTCTTGGGCTACTAAGCACTAAGAAATAGCTTCAGTAATAGTCGCTTGCTGGCTCACCAAGCCTGCTATAGAGTCAGACGCTTCCCGTGCACTCTTTTTGCCAGCTGTCCTGACAGGAGGGGTCTCTGTCCTCTCTCAGCTGTCAGCAAATGTCATCCTCCCTACATGTGCCCCCACTGTCAGCCGTCTGTCATACTCAACATCACACACGGCCACTGTGATGAAATTCTCCCTTAGTAAGAAACATACAAATAGAAGGGTCAGGAGATGGGAAGGAGAAAGCCTTCCCTCATGGTGGTGTTGGAAAGATACTTTAGAGAAAATTTGAATTTCTCAGAAATATATACCAGACTGAAAATATTTTTTTAAAGAGTGAGAGCTTTTTATAGAGCAAGGAATGAAGGAACAGATACATAGTATATGTGTATACATGTATGTATCTGTTAAAATTTAACTGATCCTCACTGAAAAAATTATTAGCACAAGGAATAGTGTTCTGTGAGTGATTCTCCATTGTTTTGGAATACCTGGCGTATTCGTTTCATTTCTGTTGCTGTGATAAAATACCCTGGAAAAAAGCAACTTAGGAAAGAAAGAGTTTTAATTTACAGTTCCAGAAGGACAGAGACCATCATAGGGGGAAAGATGTGGCAACAGGCAGGGCAGACATGGTATGGGAACAGAAAACCATCTGATCACATTGGATCCACACATCGGAAGCAGAGAAAGACAAGCAAGTGGGGCTGGGCTATAGAACTTCAAAGCTCCCCCCCACCACCACCCCGTGACATACTTCCTTCAGCAAGGCTCCACCTCCTAAAGGTCCCATAACCTTCCCAAAGAGCACCACCAGCTGGAGACCAAGTGTTCAAATGCATGAGATGGGGGGGGGCACTCCATGTGCAAACCACACCTGCAATACCAACCTGTCCTAAGAGCTGCCAAGGAACTGACTTATTTCAGGCAATGGAATAAGTCTCCTTGGGTTTATAAAAGCAAGTTTCTGAAATGTGAGAACAGTGTGGAAAGGCTCTTTGGGCAGAGAGTGTGGACTCTGCTTTGCATACAGGGCTGTATGAGGAAGAGATTTTCCTGTTCCTTGTGAACAGCAGAAGTGAGCCTGAGAAGTTATCTTCAGGGCCCTGAGGTCCTCAGTGTTAGTGATAGATAGCTTCTTTTCATGGGTGTCCCTGACTAGGCAGAACAAGGGCATTCCTCAGCAGCACTTGCTGGTAAGCATCTGGAATCATTTTCCTTACACCCCTGGCTCCAGATTATCCTTGACTGCAGTTAGCACAAAGCCTTCAGTTTGGATGTCAGTTACACCTTGGGAACCGGGAAACAGTAAGATGTCTTTGAAGTGGCCTCTGTGATCCAAGAGAGAAACTATTGTAGTTTGATACTTAGAATTCCTGGATCCCGGAAAAGGAAATTCTGATGCTTCATTCAAGCATAGTTCTTTGAAAAAAAGTCTTTTTTCTTGACCAGTCACTGGAGCCATGCACAGTGAGGCAGCCGCAGAGGAAGCCTGGCTTTCCCGTCTCCTCAGACCCTCAGCCACTGGGCCATTTCCTTATTTCATGTCTTCTATTATTTTTAATGCTTATCACATATAATTTGTGTTCCCCAAGTGCCTTTTGGTATGATCTATCCCCTGGAGCGTGATCAGTCCACTTGGTGTCACACAGTTAAAGAAAACTGACTCTTCCTCTGTCAGCAAATATCAATTGCCAGTAGTTTCTTAGCTAGGGCTGGGGCTTCTTGCCTACCTCCCCATTCCATGCTTGGATTTTGTCTGGCTTGGACTTGGGCAAGTCATGTGCATGCTGTCACAAATGCTGTACTTGCCCTGTACTACCCAGAAAACACTGTTTCCTTGTAACCTCTGGCTCTTAAAATCTTTGCACCCCTATTCCACAATGATCCCTGTGCCTTGGGAAAGGAGGTTGTAATATAGATGCCCCATTTAGGGCTGAGCACTCCACAGTCTCTTATTCTCTGCCCTTTGACCAGTCGTGGGTCTCTGTGTTAATCAACATCTGCTGCAAGAAGGTGCTCTGATGAGATCTAAGAGATGCACTAATCTATGGGTATAACATTAAGTCATTGGGAGAGGTTTAATACTATGTCCATTCAGCAGAATAACAGTAGAGGGTTCTTCCCTGCAGCCTGTGGCCTGTCTAGGCACAGGTTCTTGGCCCTGATAACAGTGCTAACTATGGGCTTCATCTTCTGAAGCAGGCCTTAAATCTAATCAGAAAGTGATTGGTTACTCCCATAATATTAATACCACTATTGTACCAGTGGGCATATCTCGCCAGACCTGTTATTTTAACTAGCAGGATTCACAGCTGGAGAAGGTTAATGGTTACTTTCTCTTCTGGTAGCATGCATAGCACCTTCCAGCACTATGAAAACAAGCCAGTAGAAATGAAACTTCAAGAGCGGTACCAGCCTGATTTTTCTGTGTGTGCTACAATTCACTTATGTAGTGTCTTCAGCAATAGGGTCTTCCTGTCAGGTTCTAGAGTGTAACCCAGAGCAGTGGTAATAGCCAGTATTGTTTGACCCCCCTACTCGACAGTTCCAAAGGAGAGAGCCCATTCCTGGCATTGGGATTTTTATTTG